TTTATTTCCTTAATGGTTAGATTGAACCTTTTTGGAGTGTGCGTGGGGGCATATGTCATTTGTATTTTGAGAATAGTGTTGTGTTTATTTTGCTTTTTAGTTGTATCTGGAGTTAGAAGAATGGAGACAGTATTAGACTGTTGCTTAAATAAGGGCATAAGGCTGGCATGAATAGATGACATACGCAGAACTATATTGCTTTCAATTCTCCATCAAAGGAAATTATTTCCAAAATGAAAAGGGTGTTACTAAAAGGGATTTGGATGACAGTGAAAGAAAATCCAGGTAATTTGAATGCATTTACCTCTCTGGGACACACTGGATTGTATCTCAGGGTTAGCAGGGTTGAAGGAGGTAGCAGACATCATCTTTGAGCCATTGCTGGTGATTGTTGAGTGAACTTGGAGAGTGGCAGAGGTTCCAGAAGACCAGAGATATGCAAATGTTGTTCTATGTAGCTTTTGACAAAGTTGAATTCCTAAAACTTTCAATGTATGAAATGCACCCTTGCAAAATTTCTGGACTACCATCATATGAATTATTTAGTAGTCCAGAGAAGAGATTGCATTGATCCTTAGGAACCAGCATAAATCTAGTAATGTGTAGTGACCAGTTGTCACATTTTCTTTTATAAAAGGGGCTTCTGTATTGGAAGATAATGCCAAAGACATCAAAGCATTTGACAAATATTTCTCGCCGTTCTCCTTAAGCACATAATAGAGAGATGTTGGAGGATGACAGAATAATGCAATAAATTCATAGCTGATTCTATTCATATGCCATAACATAGGTAATGACTGAGTGTTTGTTGGCCTAGAAAGGGGTTTCCAGTGGCAGGTATTTAGGGTTTTCTTGGCCCCAAACTGAAGAAGGGTCCTTAGAACTTGGATAGAAATCTTAAAAATTTATATTTATGTGGCTAATGATATAAACCTATAGAATAAGTCTTCATAATATGAACTATGAAAATAGGCCAACACCAACTAAATACATTTAACAGAAATAATGAGAACTTCTAAAATGAGGTTGTATTTAGAATTGAAACAACAGTTGATTTTCTTTATTTTTGGCCTTCTTGAATTTCACCAATTAAAAATAAAAACAATAACATTTGTATAGTGAAAATGACTTTTTAAGGTTAATTCGTGTATGGTAGGAGAATGCTGGGTCCACCTACATATGGTTGCTGTGAGAGCATGCTATAATAAAGAATTGCTGGACTGAGAGGAAAAGATGTGAGTACTGTTCCTGTCATCACCATAAACTAGTTGTCATCTTGGGCCAGCAGCTGGCATCACCTTTCTTGGGTCTGCATATTATCATCTGAAAGCTGGAGATGACAAGAGGTGGGGTGAAGTTAATCACTTTGCCCCATTCCCGCTCTCATGTGATATCAGGCAGTACAACTTGATTCTCATGTCCCTTGGCGAGTTTGGCCAAATTTCTAGACTCTTAAATGGACCCTTCCAGATATTTCTAGCTTAAACAGACCCTTTCAGGCCCTCTCTGAGAAGGGGCCTCTTTTCTTTTAATCTGCAAGTTCCTTCAGATCACCCTTCTTCAGGATCATATTAAACTATCCACATTTTCAATGCTTCATTTCAAGTTTCAAACAGTGTACTTGAGCCCACTTTGATCTCAGGAAGGTCAACATTTTTTTTTCTTTTTTGGGGGGCTCAGGCCCACGCCTTGACATTTCTGGATGAGCCTATAGCCTCTTCACCGGCCAAAAATGTTCCCCATGGCTTTACCATGGGGTCTGGCCTTCAGTTTCTCCATTCTCCATCAGCCAACCCTGAACAATCCTGGCCACCGTCAGCATTTGATCATCGACTGTTTCTCTAACTTCCTTCCCAGCACCACTATTTTGATTCCGTTGTTATCTTTATGACCATTTAATTTTGAATTTTTAAACTTCATATTTTATTTTCCTATTTTGTATCTTCACATTATCATTTGTAAAGGAGTTTAAAATATTTCCTGTGCCTCAATTTACTCTTGCTTAGTCTGATTTTCCCCTTATCAGTCCTCAAATATCATCAACTCTTTATTTTCTGCTCTTATGGGACACAACATTTGTACATCTTCATACAACCTAGCCTTTGGCTTCTTTTGTCTATATACTTGGATTAACCTCTCAGAGTTGGAGATCTTTGACTGAGGGATGTAGTAGTATAGTTCTTGATCCATTTTGGGTACCTTTATTTTGACTGACAAAGACAAGAGGCCACTTTAGCACATTATATTCTTTCCTTAAAACTTTAAAATATTTAAGAAGTCAGCATTTATATTTAAACATAAATTTCAGCCTCCTTCTTAGGGCTTCCCTTAATACCACAGTAATTTTGGTTGGAGGAATATTTTGTAGCCTGTGATATCTCAGATTGCAATACTTCTCTGCCTCCTGTTTCCTGCACTTCTCCTCTAGCTCCTTCCACTGAGAATTCTCCCCAGGCAGCATTTTTCACGCTTTCAGTGCTCATTTCAGGCGCTTTCTTCTCTGCTGTGCCTATGCATGCTTGAGGCTTTGTCCTAAACTCATGTGACCTGCATAGCTAATTTCAGGTTTTCAGTCTAGGCTTACTACTGCTGAACCCAAGAGACTGACGTATTGCCCAGACTCCTGCACGCTGTCTGCCAGCCACAGGTACATCCTGGGGTCATGTATTATGCTCCTGGTTAGCACATTGGGCAGGAAACAAGCTACCCATTGTGGCTGTGACCAGGTGTAGAGTCTCTTTGCTTATCTGAAAAACAGTTCTTTGACCTCACTACCTGCGGCCTGTCCTTCCTGCTACTGTGTCCTTGATAGGCCAGCTCCCCACCCTTTGCCTAGAAAGCATTCCCAATCCCTACCAGTAAGATAAATGGAGCAAAACAGGAAGCCACTTCTGTGCGGCCCAAGGCTCTGCTATACATGTGTTTGCATCCAATGTCTGAATTTTCTCCATGAAGAAATGGAAAATCTTGGGACAAATCTTTTGGTAAGATTTAGATATTGCATAGCTCCTAACAAGGCTTTATAAATAGAAGTACTTAAAGCCTTTGGGACATGGATACTTTCAGAAAGTGTTTTTAGTTTATCTCATTTCTATACATGTTTTTGGGCTGACTAAATGTTAAGTAGTTCTAATACAGTATGGTACAATGGGTCTCTTCAGTCTCTTGGGTTCAATGGAAGTTAAGTGGCTGTTATATGTGTAGTTCACAACAGTAGAAGACAGAAATAACCTATGTCTTCTCTATAATCACAGAGATACCTAGCATGAGGACAGAGATGCCTTTTAATATATTTTTCTCGTGAAGCTCTCTGATAGTGGTCTTCTAGGCAATGCAAGAGTTCAAACTTCATAACTACGACTCTGGTTCAGTAGCTCTGATGAAATCACTGGAGCTCCTTTAGCAACTGAATTGTTTGCATGTCATAAAATTATGATATGCTTCAAAGGCAAATATTTATTTAGTGAGAAATGTAGGTGTGCACAGTAAGGCTTGCGCCTTCCTCATGGCGTATTTCCTTATGAAGTTTATTAGTCTCTGACTCTAGGCAACGTGATATTATGGGAGTGGCACAGACCATAAATGTCACAAGATCTGAGCTCAAGCCATGATGTAGCTAGTTATCCTCGAGTTGTAAGACTTCAGGCTCAGAAGCCAGTCGGTGTGCCAGGGGTGTTTTACCTACAAACCTGAGAGGGATTGGGGGAAGTTTTAGATCAGGTCATTTCTAAGAAATCTTTTAGCTTTAAAATCTCAAATTAGTATTTCTAAATGCCATTTTACCCACTTTTATGTAATTACCCATTTAACCAGACTTAGAAAATTATGAAGAAAAAATATATACTCTTTCATTCCCTAACACAGATAAAATCATTGTTCATGTTCTGGAGCATTAGCTTCCTTTTTTCTGAGCAGATATATCTAAGAAAGCCTAAAACAGTGTGTGTACCTGCATTTCAAAAATTGGAATCATATATTTTTTCATAAATTGATTTTTGTTTCGTTTAACATTATCCCATGTCATCTGAGTAGGACTTAGAGTTTTTGTCCAAAACTAGATTTCCTTGGTCACTTTTGCAGTTTCTTTGAAATTTTCCGTATTGAAGACAATGTTATGCACTCTCCAAACTAAGCACCCTTGGCTTCTGAATGTGCTGTAAGTACAGTCAGTTGATTTCATTCCAGAGAACAAGCAGTAGAAATATCCCAGAGCACTCTGCCTTCTTGCTGTCACTGCATAGGTAGAGACTGCCATGGCCAGGGGTCAAGGTGGAGGATGAGGGGTGACCCCTAAAAAATGACATTAGCATGTGACCAAACAGTATCTCGAATTGTCTTGAAAGCCCACCAATCCATTGTGGAATGACCTTTACAAATAGTTTTGCTTGTGTACAACCAGATGAGATGGGGCTGACTCTGAGCAAGGGGATAAAGAAGGGAAACTTGGTAACCAAGCCTATTCTTTCTGTTCTCTGCCTCCCTCCTTCATGCCTCACCTCTTCTTCTCTTTGGCATTTATCTTCACACTCTCTAGCCCCCCAGTTATCACTTTCTTCTCCATGGGCCCATTGCATTTTGTTCATGCTGCTGATAGAGCCCTTATCACGTATTACTAATTGGAAGATTTGGGTGGTAGTTGTTGGGGGTGGGGAGAAGCAGGGTAGGTTATCATGACCCTACTCATAAGAAGTTTATGTCTCCTCACTTCGATATGAGTTTCAGAATTGGAAGATAATCTTAGCTAAGGTTAGAAGAAATGTGAAGCTGAAATATTACTGAATATTTAAAAATTGTTTTCCACTATTATTTGTTTCCTTGCATGTGGTTTCAGTGACATTATGGGTTACATTGGTTTTGGTGGCCTTGCTTGGAATTTCAACACCAGAGAGCCTATATTAAGAAATCCTACATTTAGTGGGAAGTTTTACTACATCACTGGATGTACTATAAGGTCATCTGGTTTCTGATTCTTAAGTTCTATAACTTGTAGCACTGTTTCCATGGGAAAGTGCATTCCAAGTTCTAAACAGCTGAGTTTTGGATCTCAGCTCCTTTGAGAGTTGTGGACCACTCAGACACAAAATTATCTTTAAATATACAGATAGGTGTATGTAATTTGCGTTGTATGTAGAACTAACCACCATTTGAGCCCTTATTATGTGTCAAGGGCTATAATGAGAGCCTTCATACATTCACTTGTTCCCCTCCTCACCGTGATTCTTTAAGGTAGGCATTATTATCTCCATTTTACAGATGAGGAAGCCAAGGCCCAGCAGAGCTGAGATGTGACTGCAGAGCCGTCCAACCCCAGTCCTCTGACCTTTCTCTGTGCCTGATACCTCTCAGCATTTGAGGGCCTTTTCTCTTTCTGCTTTATCTCCAAAGGTCTAGGAGAGAGGTGAAAGGTAATTCTTTTGAAAATACATATTTTAAAGCAGTATTATTCCCTTCGAGATACCCATTGATTCCCTTTGATGGAGCCCAATACCATGCTGGATCTTTGCTGTGTCTGAGTGGTGTGAATGGGCATCTATGGGGGTGGCCTCAGGAGCCTGTAGAAACAGGTACCCCAGGAAAATTTTTTACACAAAAGAACACTATAGCATCTGACTACAAGATTCAAATAAACACACTCAAAATGGTCTGTAGAGAATAGAGTGGTCGACAGTGATGGATAGCAGGTTTCTCTCTTTTTCAAAACAGATTTAATTATAGTGTTCACACAAATCTAACTGAAAATATGAGCCAGAATGTTCATTTGTTCACTCACTTATCAGCTATCAGACTTTGAATGAACCCACATATATATCAGATTTTGTACTAGGCCCCAGGAGGGTACAAAAGTGGATGAAACATAGTCCCTGTCTTCAAGAAGCTCGGAACCTAGTGGGGAGCAGGCCCAGAAACCTTCAGATCCTCTGATGTGCATTTTAAAAACAGCCCAAATACCAAAACTGGTTGTTTTTTTTTTTTTTTTTGAAACAGGGATGTCATTCTGTCACCCAGGCTAGAGTGGTGCAACTATAGCTTACTACAGCCTTGACCTTCCAGGCTCAAGCAATCCTCCTGCCTCAGCCTCCTGAGTAGCTGGGACTACATTTGCATGCCACCGTGCCTGGCTAATTTTTTATTCTAGTGTAAAGTTAGGGCTATGTGCCCAGTCTGGTTTCAAACTCCTGGGCTCAAGTGATCGTCCTGCCTTAGCCTCCCAAACTGTTGGGATTACAGGCATGAGCCAGGCTTGGCCCAAAATGTCTTTTAATGTCAGCTTTGAATGAGCTTTCATAAGAACAGTGTATATGTGTGAGGAGAAATCCCTGTCACATGGTGTTGATTTGGTAAGCAATATTTCCAATATCAGAAAGACTTGGTCAGTATGTTAATTTGCTAAAACCCACTGGCATGTAAGGATGCTGTGGCGGTTGACTTTTCCACATTTGCTTAACCAAAGTGCCAGTTTACTGAAGATGAATTCCATGTCATGTTTTACTGCCCTGCATGTGTTAAGACTTGCTTTTCATGACACTAAGACAATGGGAGATTGAATGGGTGGAGTTAAAGAGGCCCCTGGCCTTTCATTGATTCTCCTTGGGTTTCCTGCTGAGTATGGGTTGAGGCTCTGGCCTTCTCAACTGGGTGCCAGATGAATGTACTGGGAATCCTGTTAGGGTGACATCTAAGAAGAAGACTCATAAGGCACAATATTGGGAAGTCAATCAGAGCTTGTTTCAGGAGGATCAGAGCTGAGCTTGGTGGAGGTCCCTGGTGATAGGGATTCCTTCCTGAAACAATTTGTCTTCCTGAAAAAGGAGGAAGGTATAAGAACGAGAACCACTGATGTATGCAGGAGGTCCGTAGCCTCAGTTGCCATAGATACTGAAGGCTCTGTATGGCCTGGCCAAGGATGGACCGTGTTACAAGGTGTACCCACAAACCACAGTGATCTTCATCCTCAAGCTGGGGCATGCCGGGCCTCATTTTTGGAAAGTACATTTTCCATGAGATGTGCTAGCACAATGGGGTTCTATGTATAATCTGCCTTGAACAAATAGGTTTCATGGGAGGCCATCAGAAAACAACTTCATCAAGTCTCCTACTCTCCCATTAATATTTATACAGTGGAAAGCATTTCCCCTGTTTTTTGGATGAAAACATATCACATGGCTATTCTGATTCCTCATATATAATAAAAAACCCCACTTTAATTTGCCAGATACTTAAAATGTCTAGTATCATGGGATAGTTAAAGCTTCCAACTTCATTCATATTTATAACTGCTCCCCTTCCCCTGGCTAGGGCCTGTTGCAGGGAGAGGGGGCTGTGGTTGGAGGCTTTTTCTCTTGCTTACTCAGTAGCTGTGATTTCTGGACTGGGGTTAGGGGCTGGGTGGGAAACAGGAAGGAGTGTAGGAAAGCTTTTACTTGGCAGGCGGTATCATAGGAGAGCTCTTTTTGTGTTGTGGGTGTTTAGAGTTGATTCTTTCACTTGTGGAGCCTTTTATGGGTTCTTTGGAGATACCCTCTCACCTTGTCTCTGGGGGCCTCTCACCTCCAGTTTCCTTGTTGGGGCTGCTACACTCTCTTCAGCCTAATTGCAGACTCCTTCCACAGTCTCTAGAAAGCCCACCAATCCATTCATACTCCTGTCTGCTGGGTTCTATTGCTGTCCAGGTGGCTCTTGTTGGGAAGACCTTATTATATACCCTGTACATATGCTCATGGTGTGGTCCATGGGAAACACTCACACTTCCTTTGTTCCCACCAACTGGGAGAGGGCAGGCTGCTCCCAGGGCAGCTGTCATTTCCTTTGGCATATCTGTCAGCATCCAGCCAGCTCTCCAGTTCTTCAGATTTCTTAAGCAGAAGTCCCAAACAAGGTCACAGTGCCTTCCGTATCGTAACAGCCTCATGCTCTCCAGGTAGTCCTGTTGAGCCCCCTCACTAGGCTGGAAAGGGGAGAAGCAGGGAGGGGCAGGTACTCTTATCTCTTCCTAAGCTTAGTCCGTTAGGCTAGGACCAGACTGGACTGCAGCCTGCTTGCTTCAAACATTCTCTCCTTTTAGCCACCAACAAACAGTCCAGCCTACTTGTAGCCTCACTGTAGATAAGAGGTTTAAGACCAGTGAAAAAGGTTTTAGGCTATGTTCTTTGAAAAACTACATCTAGGCCTGGCACTTCACTTGGAATCTGGTATCTCATCCATCTTTGTGGCTTGTTTGACACTTCCCATTTTGACGTTCTGTAATACCTTCTTGGGAAGCAGGGCTTATCCTTAGCTCTTCGAGATGCACATGACACACAGCATAGAAAAGGCTCTTGGGAGTAGATAGGAGTGTCCACTTCTCTCCAGCCTCTTCCTCTCCTGTCCTCCATCCTGCTCCAGGACCTGTGCTCCACCTGAATCTTCCACCCAGGAAGCTCCCTCTCTGCTGCCTGCTCCTGCTCTGTGTTGCCAGCTTCTTCTGTTCCTTTAGGATTCGTAAATGTTCCTTCCTTAGTAAAGACTTCTTTGCTCAAACCCCACTTAAGTAGATCTCCCCTAATGTTCTGTTTTCTCTTACTGCAATTCCCTTTATCTCCCTCACAGTACATCTTATATTATAAATGATAATGTTTTCAAATAAATTATACAAGCTATTTAGTGTCTTACTCTCGCACCAAATGGTAAGCCCCATAAAGGAAAATTCATGTCTGTTTTATTCGGTAATAGAAACCTAACCAGTGCTCACTAAATATATGTTGAATAAATGAATGAAAGCATGAACTAAAAAGTTACCTTTGTTTAAGCTGCTCTTTTG